AGTGTACCTCTGGTGCAAATTACTGACCTCTGTCATCATTTTAAGTGGGGGAACTTGCACAATCGGTGGCTGACTAAATACTTTTTTGCCCCACTGTACATGTGGACTTGGGTTTTTTCAGAGCTGTCTAATGAAGTCTTCTCTGTTGTTCCTTGTGTTGATTTCCTGCAGGAAGTATGCACTCTGCTTTTAGCCGCTTTTCTGATGGGAGACAAAATGAGTATGCTCAACTGGCTGGGATTCGCTGTGTGTCTGTGTGGTATTTCACTACACGTGGGACTCAAGACATATTATTCTAAAAGTAAGTTTTATTTATGTTTTCACCATATTTACTGCTCTACATCCTAAAAACATAAAAATACTCAAAGCTTTTTTGTAATGGCATATAACATATTTTTTTTATTTTCTACACAAAAACCTTTGGTAAGCTCTATATTTTAGTAAAATCCAGAAATTTTGAATATGTAAATTTTTTTGTTTTAAGTTACATTTCTGGGTGAGAATGTGCCCTTATTCACCGAACAGCCTGTTCTCCGATTTCTAGTTTACATATCACATTTTCTACATGTAATGTCACAGTTTTCTTCAGAATCCTTAAAAAGGAAAGGAGGAAGGAAACTTTGCAGAGTGGTGACCATGCTGATGGTGTAAATTTTCTATCTTCCATCAGATAAGGGTCCTTCTTTAAGGCAGCTCAAGAGTAAGAGCCCAGAACTCGAGCTGCCGTTACTGCAGCGAAATGGGGATGAGAGTAAGGACTCGGCTACTGATGAATGTGATGATGAAGAAGAAGAGATCACTCTACACTGAAAGGACTTGGACACAGTCTCCATGCTGCACATTCCTTCCCTAATCTTTTGTTAGATGGTTTGAACAGTGATGTCAGAGAAGTGTTTCCAGGTGTGGGACTTTTGGGGCTTGGGTTTTTTTTTCCCCAATCCCAAACTCAGAGATAATCAGATTCATTTTGCATTGCCTGAATCAGCTGTTTAATGCATGATGGCTTCTGTATGTCAGATATTTCAATAATCATAAAGTACTAAACATTACAAAGACACAAGTCAGCTTTTACAGAGCTCAGATTGATGTCAGGACTTTTGCCTAAAATTCTAACTTTGCTAATGGAGTTAAAATATTCATTGATTGCATATTTTAATTTGTAGAGTTGAAGAGTGTTTATTGAATTGGACAATAATTGTCTACAGCCTTTTTGAGTCATAATTTGAGATGTCATGAATCGTGAAACTGACCTTTAATGTGCCTTATAAGCAGATGGAAGGAACAATTTTAATAACTGATGATGACTTTGTTAGAGTTTAAAGCCATTTCTAAATGTTTATTGTTTTTTTTTTTTTTGTCATGATTTTCTTTAAATGCAGTGTTGTTTGCGTGTTATTTCAGAAAATAAACTAAAAATTGTTTTTCGTTACTTTTGATATTCCAGAGGTTTCTGTTAACGATCATGGAGATGTTTGCTCGATCCCAGATTTACACTGTTGTAGGATTAATCCAAACCAGAGGCATAAAGACGTGCTGTGTGTGGTCACAGAAAAACTGAGTCATTCATTAGATGATGTGACCTGTGTACCACCTTAATCACAACTTCATGGAGCCCGACCCCAGACTGTGCAGGGTTACAGAGACCAGACATGGAAACACCCAAATCCAAGGAGATGGGACAAAATTAGTGAATTGGTGCTATTTCAGAGGCAGTTAGTGCACAATCACAAACTTTATGTCAGTACTTACTATGGACCTAATTGTACACTCACAAGTTAGGAGTCCATGTTCATTGCAGTGCATCTGAATCTACACTTCACTGGTTCTGGAGTGTTGATCGAATCTAAAAGTTAAAAAAACAACAACACTGAAATCTAATATTTTTTTCTCTGTACTGCAAATGCATCAGTGTGTGTGTGTGTGTGTGTGTGTGTGTATATCTAAATTGTGTCCGTTGCACTGCGCTGTACTGAAACGACACAAGTAAACTCTTTGACTTCCAACCTGGGAGCTGGATACCGGACTAGACTCAAGAATAAAGTCGTGTTCCAACACATCTGTTGGAAATTATTAATGCACTAATTATTCATGCACTAAGGGATGGGAATATAAGAGTGTACTCGCCGTTGATTAAGCGCACTGTGTGTTTAACTTTGCAATATGGCAGTCACAGTAGAGCACATGGTATTATATAGCAGAACTGTATGCGGTCAAGCGGGGTAATATTTCACTGTACGTTACATAGGATAGCTCAAACGTATGGTTGTAAAAGTGTCTCCTACTGTGGGGAGGATTTTATAGCATTCTTCTGAGTGCCACGCCCATGCCGGAGCAGCAGGAGGGCCTTGCTTCTCAGATTTCACTCTGAAACGTTCAGATACGACCTGTTGAGAGGAAGCAGGCTTCAGAGTGGAGCAGAAACCTGCGCATGTTGACATCCCGCCTCTGGAATGCAGTGCGGAATAAACTGGACTCAACGAACCGCCAGGTAAGAGCTCACCTGGCCGCTCTGAGAGCGACCGTGTTAGAAAACGGCCAAGTGCGTTTGTGACGGTGTTCTTTTTATTCATTCCGAGGTGTTAGATGAATGACCTACTGTAGCCTGTACTTACGATGCAGTGCATTGTTTCAAGCTGCTGTGAAAAAACCCCCAAACAAACACCGGGACCCGCGAGACACCTACCACACAAAAAGCAAACTTGTGCTACTTTTGTGGTGCTTGACACCAGTTAACGTGTTGCACTGTGCGAGTTATGTGTACATTAAAAACAAATATCAGTATTTAATTATCAGTCATTTAAACATGAAATACACCTTTATTTTAGTTATATCTACGCAGTTATTGGCGTGCTATATTGCGTCAAAACAGCTTCCTCCAGCAGCTAATTTCTTAACAACTTTAAAGAATTCACTTATTTAACATTTTTGTAAATGATGTGTACATTAAAATAGTTGTCAGTATTTAATTCGATGTAAGTTAAAAATATATTTAGCGTTTATTTTAATTATATTCAACAAGCTACAGTTTTATATCCGGTGGTTATTAGCGTGTTCTACTAAGTGCGTCAAAAGCATGTTCCATAATTTAAATTGCTGACTTGTTGTTTCCAGGTGTATTTACCTCATAGCTCTTACCAGCTGTCTTAAAACCTTCTACCTAAGAGGAACCATGACACTGAAATTTGATATCCAGGGTCAAGTGTTGCCACCTTGGTACCTAACAGTTAGCCGGAGTTCAAGCTATTTCGTGATGGTGTCATTTTTTCCTGTTGAGGTCACTCCAAGGGCAATAAAGGCATCCAGAAATGAGTGACTGTATACCCTGTATAAATCCAGTCTTTTAGATTGAATATTTCCTTTTATGTCGTTAACACCAGTGCAATGATTTCTTGTCTTATTATTAAGTAAAAATAATTTGTAGAATAAGCGTGTGGCTTTGGATTCATTCAAGAAAAATGAGTTCAAAGCAAAACTAAAGGACTTCCACAGGATCTGCATAACATTACTACTCCTTTGCTCTCTGTCTGACAGGCACATCAATAAGTGCACAATGTGCCACTCAAGCACTGACTTTGCAACATTCAGGCAAGCAGGCACATGTGAAACATGAGAAAACTATACAAAAACCCCCAATGTAGTTCCATCACATACTTCACATGATTACATCGGGTAGGCATGTTGGAAATGTCTTTTAACCCTCATCGTACTGTCAGGGGCCCGTGCAGACCCCAGAGGTAAATTTGTTTTGTCATATATCAAATGTATTTTCTTTCTTTGTCAGTCAATTAGTTCTTAGTAAAGTGGCATGGACATACTCATACCACACATTAAAAGCAGAGCTCATACCGCTGCATGACAATCCCCAGTCTGAGTGGCAACTAAATTAACTTTAGTTATTTCTAGTCATTTCTGCTTCCTGCACAATCATAGTAATTTGTTTCTTTGCAGCGCCAGCAGAAAGTCAGGCTGAGCAGACAAGACTGCCCTTTATCACTGTTTCATTTCATAATATTTATGCACAGATTTTCTAGGCACAGCCAAGGTAAGGGGGGTGTGGAGGGTTCAGTGGTCTCAGGATATCATCTCGGTTTTCTACGGCTTGGTGTACTGCTACTGGTACACTGGTCTTTATAGTTCAATCTACGTCCCAACCATCACCTGTGGTCGCGAGCTCTGGATAGTGACGGAAAAATGAAATAAAAGCAGAAATGGGTTCCCTCTGAATCATGTCTAGGCTCTCCCTCAGAGGCAGGATGAGAAGCTGAGTCATTAGGGAGGCACTTAGAGTGCAGCCGCCATGCCTCCACATCCAAAGAAGGCGGTTGACGTGAGTTCAGGGATCCTAACCACCTCTTAGGTGAGAACTTTTCTAGAAGGCAGACCCAGGGCAGACCCAGGACATGGTAGAGATTGTTTCTCTGGGTTGGCTGGTTGTGTGTTTATCTGAAGCCTGATTGGTTTCATCATATAAATACAACAGAAATAATGTTTATTTAAAATGATTGAAAACTAAGTGATTCCACACTCAAAAGATGATAAATAAGCTTTTAAGTAACATGAATTACATTTTGGATAAAAGATGCAAGTTGTTATAAAGAAAAGTACAGATTCTTTTTTTTATATAAAATATGCATATTCATTTTTAAATAATTTGAATTAATATTTTTTTTAGATGACAATAACTATATAACTAATCCATGCATGGTAAATATGTTGGTAGGATGAGGGTTAAACTCTCTTCTAATGGTTGCCTGTTGTGCTTGAGACAGGCAAGAAAGTTCAGACAGGAATCCATTAAAATAAGTCTAAAATGCTAACAATGAGTGTTCAGCACTGTGAAGAAGTATTTGCCACCAGCTTTCCATCCCATACATCAGATGTAAAACTAACATAACATTTCATAAAAGGTACATCACACCAGCAGTCAAACATGGTGGTGGTAGTTTGATGATCTGGGGTTTAAAGTATGAAAAATGCAACAACAACAAAAAGGGATCAGGGGGTGGGCAAATACTTTTTCACAGTACTGTATGTCAAATTATTGTTAATATAAATTATTACAGTGAAATCAGTATCTTTGGGTCTCTGTATGTGTGTTGATATTTCTCCTTATCTCTACTTGTGTTTCCATGTCACACTTCACCAGATAACTTACTTCTGTCATACCCGGCCACGAGCTGGAAGGTCTGTGAACTCCAGCTGTATTAACTGTGTCTTTGTTCAGCCTGTGTTTGTTGAACAGTGTTCTTATTCACAAAGAACAAATGACATTCCTTTCGTCCTTGTTTTCTAAAGATCATCTTCCTACAGTTTTACAGGGTTTTTCAAAATTACAAATTCTAGTAAGATTTTTGGGGAACAAAAAATTCCTAAACTCTTTGCAGTTTGATCCTGAGCAATATTCTTAAACCTCTCCTTTACATATAAAAGACTCATTGAGAGGGCTTTGTAGAGCAAATCATGCATGTGACATGCTGCTGATTGCCTAGCTGGTTGTAAATGTTCTCTCAGTTTTAGGTTGTTTTGTTTTCTGTTGCTACCCCACCACATTTTTTAAATGTGCTGCTGGCACCAAATTGAAATGAGGACAGATTTTTTAAAAATCAAAAAAACTGAAAAGTATCAATTTAACATTTTTAATCAAAACTAATTTGGCTATTTTTGATTAAAGGCTTTAAACTCTTTAAATTCTTTGTGATTTACATGGTGTCTGAACTTTTCTTTTTTTTTTTATGGAAGTGGGATTTTAAAAAAATGAGTTTGGTCTTTTAGCTTTGAGCAAGAAATTATTGTTCTTAGAAGATTCCAAGACTGTTCCCTCTTTGGAGTTTAAAAAACACAACATTTGATATATATGAAATAAGTTCAGTCCTGGGATCTAGAATTAGTTGAAGGTGTTTAATGGATGTTGTGTAAAGTGTTAATGGGTCTCAGACAGAAGCATGGTAGGTTTACGGCCTCTTCAAGGGCTGCACTTTTGTTAATATTATAGCCTGGTGTATCATTAGCTGTGTTGACGTCTGTAATTGGACAAAATCAGGCACATCTGTAGTCTGAGTCAGACATAGAAATTTCCATGGGAAAACTACCTGGTTTTTAACAGCTTTTTCCCCCATTATGTTGATATGAAAGGTATTCCAAAGTAGAAATATATATTTTAAATGAGCAATACAAATGTAGAATAGGATTTATGACTGATTCATTTGTTTGATTTATAAATTCTAATCTGATCCACAAATCTTATATTTGAAATAGAAAATTAAAAAAAAAATCTGAAAAGCTGAAATAATTGAACAAAAAACACACCATCATGAAAAATTCATTGGTTTTTTTTGGGTTTTTTTTTTTTTTACATGTTCAGAAGGTCGAGCAGGTCA